AAAAGTTTTTAAATAATAAACTATTATAAACTACTTTTTTTTTTTTTTTTTTGTTTTGAAATAAAATTTAATCACTAAATGATTGATGCTTCTAGAAGATATACTATACTGTGGCACAATTTCTCTAGAAAATTCTTTTTATAGAGACAGTTTCGTTTCATCTCTTTGCTGTATTCATCAAAGCTATTTTAACACTGCAACGTTGCAATTGCGTCAATTTTAATAACATTCCGCAAAAGTAACAAAAAAAATTGAGAAACTTAATCACTCAAGCAATTAGCGCGTCAATACAAAACAAAGCCAAAMATTTTGCATTTGAGGCAAAGTAAAATGAAAAACAAAGAAAATCACAGTAGAAAAAAAATTGATTTGAAATTTCGCAGTACTCACCATGTGTCACCAGATTTGTTAGATAGATGAGAAACATCACTTTCCGGCTTGTCCAGCGGCTGGGGAAGAGGTTCAGCGCAATTAGCAGCAACTTAATGACCGTAATTATGAACATTTTGACAGCTGGGCGTCGTTGTTTGCTCTCCTTCGCTCAAAATGCAATATAAGCCAACTAATTTCGGGCTAGGAAATTATTGTTATTTTCTAATTTTTTTATTGTTTTTTGTTACTTGAGCAAGCGACCCGTTTGCGAGTTGATATGTTTACTGGTGTAACGGTTGTGATGCGTTAGATCGCTTGCAGCTGATTATGTCCTGTTGATATGTGTTGGAAGTAGTTGATATTAGGTAATGAGCATATTTTTTCAAACTCAAWACTTTGTCTTTTCCTTACATTCCGTTGCGGTTAACTAATAGTGATTAAAATAATTTAGCCKGTATTTTTCCGAAATAACTCATAATGAGTGCGTTGGAATTTGATATTTCTGAAAAAATTCACTTTTTTTTCACTTCACATTATTAATCTAATTTTTTTTTATAAATTACACTTGAATGCATTCCGCTTTTTAGTGCCGCCACAGCAGAACGTCGTTGCAAAAAACTTCGCGGCATTTTCGGTTTTTATTTTCCATTTTTAACCTAATATATTKGCGATTTTTAATTATTTCAAATTTATTTTGTGTATTTCTCACTAATTTGCATATTTTTGCGCATCTCTAGCACATCACCATTTCAGCTGAAATAAATTTTTTGCTGGTTAGCGATTTTTGCTGCTTCAAATTTTTTGCTATATTTTGTTCATTCAGTATTTAGTTATTTAAAATTATTTATGTTTGTTTTTTTTTACGTGCTATAAATAAACGAACGCTAAAACAGCTTTTCCATCAGCGAAATTTTTTCACATTTATTTTGCAAACCAAAACTGATATGCTAAAAATATACCAGGCTGGAAAATTTCACCAAAATATTTCAATAATTTTTTTATTGCTGAACGAGCTATTTTGGTTAGTTATTTCGGTTAATTAAAAACTTAAATCCAAAAAAATATCAGATCAAAACTTTCAACCAAATCAATATATCTTTCTGCTTTGGTGCTCCATTAAATATATTTAAATTTTGCCAAACTGCGGAATTCCAAAGCTCTTTAATTATTTAATGTGAAATTATCGCGATACAGAAATAAGAGCATTTTGTTTAACAAAATAGCTCATGCTGGTAAGGTTCTTGTTAATAAAAATGAGAAAAATTAGATTCTCCTCAAAAAACTACCTGATTCGATATTCTCTAATAATATGAGAAAGCTCACAGAACACTGAGGACATTGGGACCAGAACGCACTGGGAATAAATGRCAATAAATATTATAATTGAAGATTTTCTAAGATTATTTACAGCAATTGMTTATGAAAAATATTTCACATAGAAAAATTTCTGGTCATCTAAAACAGTTTGTTAATTAGATCAGATTGCAGAAAATGTAGAAAGGGCGGACTTTGATCTCTAAAATCAAATMTTTTATAAAATTTTTCATTCTGCTGACCGCTCATTTACGATTCGATGAAAACAGATACTGTAGTAAGGGACATGTGCCATTTCCAATGACGAAAAGAAATTCAATATGGCCGGTATTCCAAAACATTGAAGCGTTTGACGCCAGAAAAGTCATATTCCAGAAACTTTCATGAGAGATCATTGATGGTGTGGAAAGAACTTGGATTGAAAAGACTACCCTCATTGGCTAGAGTGTGTTGATGACATTCCAGATACCTTAATTCGACACCCTAAAAAGAATTGCAAATTTCAAAACGCTCTCTACAGCGTRTACTCACTAATGATCACAACGAAAAAAGTTTGTTAAATGGATAATGAGCAAAAGGAATACTGATTTTTCAAGCAAAGACGTTCTTAGCGATGAAACATACTTTAATCTTGATGGCTTTGTCAATTGCCGCTTTTGGGGTTCTAAGAACCCACATATGATTACCGAAAAAAAAATGCATTCTCAACGTGTCACAGTTTGGTGTAGATTTTGTGGTGGCCATACATAATATTTGACACAGCTGTCACTGACTGTCATACTWACCTCTGCTAAGCATGGATAACGTTGAAGAAATGGAAATATCTTTTTTATCCATTGATAACTTTGAATAAATCATGTCTGAACTATAAACACTAAACTGTACACAAAACGAAACATAATGTCTTAAAGTAGAAAAAACCGACAAAAAAAAAAAAAGTTGAATGTGTTCTCCTCTGCCTCTGCCAATAAAATAACGATACATTGAAATCTCCATGTGCATAGAAAAGCAAGCAAATAAGCAAAAAGAAGAAAAAGCACTAACAACACATTTGTATCAATAAAGCAAAATTGGAAATACTCCGCAGTTTACCATTGAGAAACTATCGCAACAACAAAATCGATTTGTGACAAAGTGAACCACGAAATTGAGATAACATAGAACCGAAAATAATGTTTAATAGTAAACAAGAATTTACGAGGGTTTGCTTTGTCTACACAAGAGAGCGCTGACCGCAAACATAAGCTCACTGTGACTCACACCAAACACGCAAACAAATACATCTAATGTTGGCAGTTTGTGTTTGGGGCAACACATGTAGGACACGTGAGTTTAAAAAGGAATACAGATTATGGAATTTTAGRTCGTCGTCTGTGGGAAAAAGGTTAACAGGCAATATGTGCTCGGCTTTAAAATGTTTTGTCTTCAGGAATTTATGCAAACGTGTGCAGAGTCAAACACATGTCTATGGAGGATGTAGAGTTAAGCAGTTGTAGGCTTGTGTAAATATGTTTAGATATGCGAGGATTTTATTTCGGATGCTAGCATGTCTGCTATGCAGACAACATTATRCAAACGCAGGCGAAGAATTTCAATTACCAAGTGTTGGATTTGATTCACTCATAAGACACTAAGCCACACGCATTAAGAAAATATTTTGGGCTGATATTTGAAATATTTACATATCCGACGAGTAAAACGTATTAGAGAAGAGAGAGATGAGACATTTGAACAATGTAAAAAACTTATAACAATTCAAGAAAATGGGTGAGTCAGACCCAGCATTCATACATTCATTATTGGATAATATTCGACCGAATAGACCACGAACAGCACGCAGTGAGGAAAATATAGCAGCCGTAGCAGAGAGTTCTTGTACAGAGAGTCGATTCGGCGCCGTTCGCAGTAACTCCGACTGACGTATGAAGCGACTGGGCGCATCTTGTGTCGCGTTCTCAAATTGAAAGCATTTCAAGCGATATCGCTTTGCTCTATGCGCTCTTGAAAAGCTCCAAGAAGATCCGCCGTTTTCAAGCCAAATTTTCTTTAGCGATGAAACACATTTCTGATACAATGGGTAAGTAAACAAGAAAAATTGTTTTATTTGGGGTGAAGACTATCAAGAGCTGCCATTTATCTAGAAAAAAACGGTTTAATATGGTTTGTGGAATCAGCGGTCCATATTTCTTCAAAAGTGATGCCGGAGAGAACCTAACCGTCAATGGCAATCGTTATCGTGCCGTGATAACCGACTATTTTATGTCTGAAATTGAAGCTTGTGACCTCGGCGACATTTGGTTTTAACAAGATGGCGCCACTTCCCACCCATCGAATCAATCAATGGTTTTATTGAGAAATTGGCCACCAAGAACATGTGGTATCACACTATTGAACTTCTTTCTGTGGGAATATGTAAAGTCTAATAAGTTCGATTTAGGCCTTGGAGCAAAATAAAGCACGTGTTATTCGCCAAATCCCAATCGAAATGCTCGAAAGGTTCATCGAAAGTTGGACTAAAAAATGGATCATCTGAGACATAGCCGTGGCCAACAATTGAAAGAGAAAACCCTTAAAAAATAAATGCCAAAGAATATTCTTTCAAATTATAATACACTTTCCCCATTAAATTTGAAGTATCTGTGTTTTTTCCATAAAAAAGGAGAAAATCTCGAAACGAATCACTTTCCGAAACTATGTACAATAATTTGAACCAGGGTAAATCATTTTTCAGAGCGAGAGGATGAAACTCATTGGAAATATGAGAAATAATTTAGGGTCGATCTAAGTGAGGGAAGAGAAAGAGTGGGGCATGACTTCTTGGCGTAGCAACGGGCAGGCGTGTCAAGTTGGAGTTTGTTGGTCTTGGATTTTATACCCCAGTCTCTTTCATAATCAGCCTATACACCTAACCTAACCTAATCTACTCGTCTTTCCGTAAATAACCGAGTTTTCGATGTTTGTTGAGCAAAGAACTTCCATAAAATTTTGATTGTAGAAAAAATATTCTTACGTACAAACTTTGAAAATGTTGCAGAAACTCCAGGTTACAAAAACATTTATAACAAGTTCAAAGCGGAGAGGCGATCCGCGCTATGGACGACCACCAAACATTGCCGACGAGGAYCACACCATAATAATCAAAGATTTGGTGCTTGAACCGTCGACTGACAATTACAATTCTCGAATATCATTTGGCTCAACCCAAGAAGAATGTTTTGTGGCAAAATCGAAATGTCACACTGCATTCCATCTCTAAGCCTTTCTTCCGAAAACTCAACTCGTTCTGTAACTACCGTTTCTGCCAGATTTGGCTCCGTGCACCTTCAGAAAATTTAAAGGCTGATGCGAAAGCGCCATTGTGGAAAAATAGAGTCGAGAAAAGTCTTGAAGGATAGTATACTGGAATAAGGCTATTCTGACTGTTTCGACTGCTGGAAAAATCGTTGTATCGGACGGGTCTTACTTTGAAACTAATCAAATTAATTCCGAAAAATACAAAACAATTTTCATTTTATAAACAAATTCACTTTATCTTTCGTTACCAGTAGTTATATCAGTGCCTCGCAATTAGCGTTCTTAACTTTCTCCTAGCTTCTTAAAATACGCATTAGTAAACTCAAAATGTAATACACCTCGTGTCTTCTTATTGCCACTTTCAAAGTAGACACACGCAGTTATAACTTTTTCTTGTAACGTTTCTTTACTCTTCATAGGTTGCAATCATAGGTTCTTCCTGCATTGCAGTATACCTAGCGTGCATTTTCATATTATATTCTTTTGTTCAAGCTGTTTAATTCTTAGGCAGCTATCGAAAGTTCTTCTGATGGTTAAGATATTCCGGTAGATCCAGTCACATGGTCAAAACATCAGAAAACGCTAAAAGCAATTATTAATAACATTTAGAGAGTTCGTCGCCCGCTGCGCATGAAGCTTCTGACCCMGTGCAAGTCCATTTAACATTTCTTTCTTCAATGTACTATCTTTGCAAATTTAGAGTTTAAGTAACTTGAAAATCCCAGCTTCACGTATTCCCATCTGCTAGTTGGAATAAAAATAAAGGCCGAAGGCAGATCAGAGAGTCAAGAATATTTTCTGTGCTTTCAAGGGATGCGTATATCATTTGAAGTCCGATTGCCATATTGTGTAAGGATCAGTCATAGAAAGAATTTCCACTTCGGAGGTACTATTTGAGTATTTTAATATTTGAGGTTTTCACCTCTTTTCTGCATATCCCGCTGCAGTCAGAAAGACTTATGAATAAATTTGCTTGTCAAGTGCCT